CCACTCTACAACCACCCTTACATGCAACCTGTCACAGAACCCTTGGACTTTGTTCCAGTTGTCCCTAAAGCACAACTCACAGTTACAAGGCCCAGTCTTCCACTACACACGATCTTTGTTGTCATGACTTTTTAGTATCTTTCAATTTAAACATTCCCTCAGTCTTTAACTCTTTCAGTCTTGATATTTATATATTCAGTGGTGGTAAAATACACAATATGTAAAAACTTACTACTTTGAAACTTTTTTGTTTATAGTACTATTTATTAAACCCAGGGCCTTTACACTGAACTACATCCTTAGCCTATTTATTTATTTATTTACTTATTTATTATTGATTGATTGAGACAGGGTTTCACTGAGTTGCTCCTAGATGCTGCGATTATAGGCACAAGCCACCACGCCCAGCCTAAAACTTTTGAGAGTGCAGTTTAGTAGCACAATAGTAAGACCTTCATACTGTTGTATAGCCATCACCACCACCAGCTCCAGAACATTTTCGTCTTTCTGATAAAACTCTGGAGCTATTGAACACTAACTTCCAATTACACCTGCTCCAGCCTCTGATGACCATCACCCTCCTTTCCATCTCTATGGGTTTGACTGTCGTAGATATCCCACACAGGATCTGTCTGTTTTTGACTGGCCCCTTTCACGTAGCACAATGTCATCAGGGCTCTTCCATGTTAGAGCGGGTGTCAGAACCTTATTTCTAGGGTGAGCAATCCTCCACTGTAAGCACAGACCACGTTTTGTTCATCTGTCCGCAGACACTTGGCAGTCGGGCTGCTGTGAATAATATGTTGCAGACCTGTGGACTAAGCCTGATAGTTTGGAAGAGCACACAGGCTGGTCATTTCCCACATTAAGGGTTGGTCTGCTGTATCCTCATGATTAGACCAAAATCATCCATCTTCTCAAGAATGTGACACAAGTGAAGCTGTCACCTTCTCATTGCATCCTGTTGGGTGACACATGATTCAGGTTGCCCTAGGGTTTGGAAAATCAGCTTTGAGCTGATATCTGCAGAGGGTGCTGGCCGGATTTCCCACCGTGAAATTACTCTCTTTTCTGTGTTACCAATGAGAATTTCCTGGGAAAGTGGTTGGAGACCGTGAAATACCTCCTTCTCATCAACCCATCTTTTTAAACCACCCCAGCAGCCAGCATAACCTTTGGTGGTGGTTGCTGATTAATTCTGCAGGTCTCTCTCCCAGATTTGGAAAGTGTCCACAGCCTTATTTCCTTTCCCTGAGCTAAGTGTTAGATCAGAGGCAGATGCCCTTGAATGAAATGTTGGTGTTCCTGAACCACTGGGCCAAGGACTTTTGAGGGCAAAACCATCTCAGTAACTAGCATTCCCTGAAAGATAGGAAAAGAAGTACAACCAATACCAACTTTCTTCTTTTCCTTTCTTTCATCATTCTCCATTCTTTCCTTTCTATTTTTTTTTCTTTTAAAGACAACTCTTGCTATGTTATCCAGGTTTGCCTTGAATCCCTGGGCTCAAGGGATCTTCCCATTTCAACCTCCCAAGTAGCCAGGACTACAGACACATGCCACCACCCCCAGCCCAAGTGTCTTTTAGTACTGTACCTGCAGTCAGAGGTGGCAGAACTCCGTTCTACCCAGCCACTTTTTCAGGGCTGTACGTGGCAATAAGGAGTGTCACTGGGACTGCATGCGCTATTCACAGCAAGGACTTCCTAGAGGATAAGTAGCTTTCTCAGGATTCTCTCTTGCAGCTGTGTTTGACCACCAACGCAGACTAGATTGGCTAGATCACACCTGGGATATCCATCCACAAGGTGTGGCCTCAGCAACGCCCTAAAATCAGAACCATCTATCTGAGCATGACAGGATACCCCAAGGAAAAGATCCACCCCAACCTCTGTGACAGGCCTTCGTCCAAAAGTAGGTACACAGCACATACTGGTTTGGCATCCCCAAAGGAAGCATCCCTATCCATTCAATACTCAAACCAGTTCACACACAAAAATATTCAAAATATTGCACAAAAGTACCTTCAGGCAATATGTATAAGATATACATGAAACATAAATTAATTTGGTGTTTAGACTTGATAGCTCATTATGTGTATGAAGATATTTTTAAAAATCTGAAATACAAAATGCTTCCGGTGCAGGGCACTTTACAGAAGACACTCAGCATGTTATATATTGGTTCTAATGTATCAAAAAGAAAGTCATATCAAAGATTTTATTTATTTATTTATTTTTGGTACCAGGAATCAAACTCAGGGTCTCAGGCTTGCCAGGCAAGCGCTTATGCCACTGAGCTATATCCCCGGCCCATATCAAACATTCTAAAATGATACCCGGGCATGGTGGCATATCCCTGTAATCCCAGCACTCAGGAGGCTGAGGCAGGAGGATTGTAGTGAGTTCAAGGCCAGTCTGAACTATATAGCAAGATTCTGTGTCATAAATAAGGGGGATTCTAAAATAACACAGCACTTCATAAGAAGAGGATAGCATAACTATAGGTAGGTAGGTAAGGGGATAGGAGAGCTATAGGTAGGTAGATAAAAGGATAGGATAGATATAGGTAGATAGATAAGTAGGCAGGTAGATAAATAGCTATTCACAAAAACAAAGGATGATTCCTTCTGTTGAGAAAAATATAAAGGAAAATTATTCTCTTACAAAAACAATTAGTTGTTTATAGTAGGTGTTCAAAAATTCCTTGGGTGTACTTGTTAATTCAACCATCCACCAGAACCTAAGACCTATTCAGCAGCAGTGTTGCCTGAAGTTGGTCATATACCTTCCATACCTAGAAGGATGCATGAAATATAATTGATAATGAGTATTTGTTGAGTGAGTGAATTTACTTTCCTCAAACATTAACCCCCCAATGCTAACTAAGCACATACTGCACGTTCTGTGGTCATTCATGCAGAATGGGCCAGTGAACCATTTAACAATTCCTTGATAGTAGGGAGGCTCTTGGGTGTGCAGACTACCTCCTTCCTCCTGGGGTTGCAGTCATCAGAGATCTAAGTCAGCCTGTGCATTCTCCATCCCTATTGTACACACACCCATCCCAAATGAATCCATTTCATCTTGACCCAGGTGTTTCAGTGACAGGCAACTTGGCAAATGTAATTATGTCCCAAACCAGCCGACTTTTAATAAGATGATTACTACCCACGAGGATGAGCCAAGTGAGCTAGGCTTTAGGGACACAGGGTTCTTCCTGCATGGGGAGGAAGAGGCTCGTCAAGAGTATTTGCAGGTGTTGCTTTGAAGATGAAGGGAACCAGGTGACAGGGAGTGCACAGATGCCCAAAAGAACCCCCAGGGGACCAGCAAGGAAACAGGAAGCTCAGTCCTACAAGGGCAAGCAACTCCATCTTGCACAAGCACCCAAGCTGGGGAAAGGCCAGATTCAGGCTCACGGCTGTAGGAAAGTCCGTCCATGGTCGGCTGGCTGTAAGGCAGGATGGGCATGGCGGAAGGGTCTGGAGAAGGAAAGCTGCTCAAGTCATGGTGGACGGGAAGCACAGAGAGCAGGAGGAGCCAGGAAGACAGGGACACCCTCTCAGATCACCCCAGTGACTCCCTCGAAGCAGGCCTCACCTACTTACTGCAAGTCAGCCGTAGCACTGTGCATAATCCAGTCACCTTCCAAAAGCCCCACTTCTGAGCAAATTTGCCTTTGGGGAGTGGGGAGGACATTCTAGATCCAAATCCTAACAGGACCCAAGGTCTGGATAAGAGGCACCTCCCCTGCCCACAGCTGGGAGGAGGAGGGGGAAAAGTGGCCATGCCCTCTGGACGTTTGACCTAACACATGGGTGTGATGTTGAGCCAGCGATGTGTGATAATTCTGGATGGAGCAATAAAAAATAATAGAGGTCAAAATAGCATAGTAATATAACAAGCAGATTACACAGTTCATGTTCAGGTGGCTGGGGGACAGGCTTGTCTCACACACAGCCAGGTGACTCAGAAATGCAATCAGAGACCCTGGCTTTATTTTCTGATGTATTCAATCACCTTTCACCAAGCGGAAGGAGCCCCATCCCTGGCTGGCCGTCAGCCCACAGCTTGTGTCATGTTAATGAGGGCAAAAGTCCCTGTGCAAAGGGAAGTGAGAGATTTTTCTAGAACAGAACAATAGAGCTGGCCATAGGGACCTAATTCCAACATGCAGAGGCTGAGGCAGGAGAATTTCTATGAGTCCAAGCCTGGCCTGGGCTACACAGTTAGTTCAAGGCCAGGCCAACTGCATAATGAGACCCTGATTTATTTTTAATGTGACTTTCCAGAGGAAAAAATGTGGTCATGCAAAGGGGTGACACTACACAGACCACCCTGGGCTTCTCAGCAAGGATGGAGGGATTGGAAACCAGGTTGTTTTCTCTCTCAGCTCTTCCTGACCACTTTCTTGGGGCCTCATGTCTGCAAAACTTCCCTAAAGATCCAGCAGGGAGGGGAAGTGGAGGAGGAGGGAGGGGGAAGGGAGGGGAAAGAGAAGGGAGGGGGGGAGAAAGAAAAGGGGGGAGGGGGAAGAGAAGGGAGGAAAGGAGGAGGGGGAAGAAGGAAGGATGGGTGGGAGGGAGGGCACCATGTGGTCCATCCTCTCTGGCATTTGCTGGCCAGGAAATGGAGTCCCCATTAGGAGAGATTAGAGGGGGGACCAGGTGGGACTTGTAAAAGTGATTAGAGCATCACCTTCATGCCCGGATTAATCTCTACCCAAGATTAATGCTCAGCGGATTAGTGGGTTAATGGGTTATCTACAGAGTGGCGCTGCCGTGACAGCCACTTGGGCTGTCTCTCCTGCACACAGCCCTCCCCCTGGGACACCTGTCAGGGCCTCTGGACTCTGCCAGACGTGGCCCAGAACCATGAACCAGTCTTGCTTTATAGTTTCCCTGGCCCGGCCCATGGCACCATGCTATAAGCAACAGAAAACACTCCCCACAGACAACTCTTGATTGTCACACAGCGAAGGAGGGAACAGGTGCTCACCCAGGCATCACCCAGCTGCAGAAGCCCCTGGACCCCAGATGAGGAACGCTGATTGACAGCCATCCATGGACACGGCTGAAGACCACAGTGTCGGGGACAAAGCCACAGAAAGCCAGCACACCAGGCTTCTGCTCTGCAGACCTATGTTCTGTAGTTCAGTGTTGCTTTCTAGGAAAAGAAAGATGACTGAAATGAAAACCATATGATGATAGAACTACCTCAGTGCTGGCAGGCAGAGGAACTGTGGAAATGGACAGCAGAGAGCTGAGGACCCCCTGGGCTCGTGGTGCAAGTTGTCCAGGAGGCAGCCAGGCAGGGAGACAGGACTCAGGTCTGCCTCCCTGACAGTGCAGCAGGGAAGTGTTTAGGTGCTGGGGAGCTGTAGTTTGCAAATAACTCATTGCACCAACAAGTTCAAACACACCTATCACAATGCATTTTAAGTCCTTACAGAAACACGCGCAAGTATATTCTTAAGAAAGAACAGTGTATATCTGTGCAGGAGAATCTGGGCTTTGGAAATCGACAGTTCATGGAGATTTGGCGGTGATATGTGTGACACTGAGCACGTTATATGTTTCTGGGAGTATGAATGCTGTCTGTGTGCTGTCCCACAGTACCTGAATTATCCGGCATTTCTGAGAATGCAGAGCAGAGACCAAAGTCCTCAGTCTGCCGTGCTTAGAAGTCTAAACTCAGGGTCTTATTACATACCAAGGACGTAAATTTAGTATTAAGAGGATTATTAAAACAACATGCCGAATGACATTTGTATCACTTTCTGTTTGTTTTTCAGTGTTTTAGACCTGAAGGTTGTCAGGTTGTTTTTCTCAACTGCAAACCCTTGGGTATTCCCTGGGTTTAATTTGGGACTTGGTAGTGCATTCTGTTAAATACAAACATGTTAAACATTTATCCAGCAATGTGTGTCTAAAGCAGAAAACATTCTAACCGTATGCATGTGGGGTTCGTGCGGACATCAGTGTAGTATGTGTGGGTTATTTTTCTGTCTTCAGTTAAAGGGCACAGGTAAAGATTGTGTGTCCTGGTTGCTGGTGTAGAGGAAGAGAACCATGTGGCATATTCCAGAGAAATCCTGGCCCCTTCACCAAGGCTTGAAGCTAGGAAAATCACACGCATGAGAATCTGCTGGTTTACGCTATTTAGTCTAGAAATAATGATCTCTAACTGGTGTGGCCAAGATTCATCTCCCCCCTGAGCTCCTGAGTCCAGGAAGTTGTCTTTTATCCCATTCCTGGCCCACTTAGCAACTCCAGCTTCCAAATGATGCTTCCAGGATGGCAGGGAATTTTGTTCTACAAATACAGCTCTTGTTGTGAGCTGTGCCTGACCCAACATAGCAGAAGGATCACAAGGAGACAGGCAAGTGGAGGAGATATTGACCTAGATGATAGCGCTTTTTAAAATCATGCTGCATTTAAGCTGGGTGCGGTGGCGTGCACCTGTAATCCCAGCTACTCTGGAGGTGGAGGCAAGAGGATCATTTGGGCTCATGAGCTTCAGAGAAGCCTGAACAACAAGCCCGTGCATAGTGAGATCTTTCTCAAAGGAAAACAAAATGCTGGGCATGCTGGCATATGCCTGTAATCCCAGCACTTGGGAGGCTGAGGCAGGAGGATCATTCTGAGTTTGAGACCGGCCTGGACTACAAAGTGAGCTCAAGGCCAGCCTGAACTGCATTGCAAGACTCTGTCTCAAAAAGACAAAAAAGAAATAAGGAAAAGAAAATAATATGGACCCAGATGCCAAGGCTGACAGATTTCTACATTATTGGAGGGAGGTGTCTATTTACTATTTTAAAATGATAAAAGTCTGGTGGAGTTTTCTTATCTTTTTCTTGGATGTGTGTGTTGGGGGAGGGTCCTGACTATTGGCCTATTATCTAGTATTGACCCTGGAATGGCAAAAATTGTCACTGACAGTGAAGATCACAGATATGCCCAAGGGCATGTGAGACATAGATTGACCTTGATAAAGCAAAGAACAAATTAAAATGAAAGATGAAAGTGGAAAAGATTATTTGAAACTGGGCATAGTGGTGCATACCTGTAATCCTAGCACTCGGGAGGCTGAGGCAGGAGGGTCGACAGGAGTGCGAGGCCAGTCTGGGCTACAAAGTGAGCTCAAAGCTGGCCTGAACTGCATAGCGAGACCCTGTCTCCAAAAAAAAAAAAGGCTTATTTGAAAGCAACACAAACGAATGGAATCAGAAGTGCTTTGTGTGGAAAGCATGCGGTGCAGACAGAAAACATGAGTGGCGTGGGTCTGCCTGAGCCTCTGCACCTGGGCATGTCACTTGAGAAGCCACGGTTGGAAGCAAGGATGCTGGAATGAAGTTTTCATACTTCTTGCTGGGGATGTTCTTGCCGTATTGCTGCAATTCTGCAAGTAAACTTGCTGTTGAACTTCGGTGTCTCAAGCTGAGGACACTTTTTGCAGACCGCCTTTTTCAGAGTGACCACGCACCGACTCCCAGCACCCAGCGCTTGTCACTGCCTGAGTCCTCATCCTTGTGCTTGCAGGGGGACGGTAGAAGACTCCACTGGATCAGATGTCAAACTACTGGAGTTTAGCATTCAGCACTGGGCGATGTTTTGAGTCCTGAAGAAAAGCTCTGCTGTTACTTTTCAAAATGCCTGAGATCATCAACTTATGGGCAGGGAAGGTTCATACTTTAGCTTGCAGTTTCAGCCCACGTTCAGTCGGCTCTGTTGCTCTGGAGCCTGAATAGAGGAAAGCATCATGGCGGACAGGGTGCAGTGGAGCAAAGGTTCTCGTGGGCACCAGGAAGCAGAGAGAGGGGGGAAAAGGCTGGTGTCCCCAGGTCCCCCGAAGGGTCCTTGTCTGTGATGTAATGTCCCTCCTCTCAGCTCTGTCTCCTAAAGGTCCCACCCTGTCCCAACAGGGCCACAGGCTGGGGAGCATACCTCTAGCATGTGGGCCTTTGGGGGATATTTAAGATCTAACTGCAGCAGGCTGTGCATTCACAACTAACTGCTGCGTAATGAATCGATCCAAAATGTTGGTGCTCAAAAGGGTCACATTCATGAATTGCAGCTCACTGACCCTTTGGGTCAGGGATCCAGGCAGGGCATGATGGGAAGGTTGGTCCTGCACTGGTGATTTCTGGGACTCCGACTGGAAGATGTAAACACTGGGACTAGGAAGCACCTGAGGACCAGGTGGCACTGGAGACCCTGCTGGCTGGGCAGCACACTCACAAGGTCGCCAGGCAGCTGTCAGAGGGCAGCCTCCGCTCCTCTCCCTGGGGTCTCTGGAGGGACTGCTTGGGCATCCTGTTGACATTGTAGCTGGTCTCCAGTCTGAGGGACCCAAGACATCAATGAGGAGCCTCAGTGGCTCTTAGGACTTGGCCTCAGAAGTCACAGCCTGTTCTTATATCCTACTGGTTGAAAAGGTCAGCCTTGGCCAATGTCAGAGGAGACCACATAGGACTTGTTTTAGTCTCCGTGGACCCTAACGAAATTGCATGAATGCAATGGTTTAAATCAAGAGCACAAAAGTGAAGGGGGCTGGATAGAGGGAGGGAGGGAGAGAGGAGGAGAGGGTACCAGACTCATCCTGTTCTTAAAAACAGACAAATCCCCTCATGGACCATGTGGGTTCTGTCCCTGTGACCTCATATAAGATTCACTATTTCCCAAAGGCCCCAGCTTCAAACACCATCCCACTGAGCGGTAGGGGCTCCACAACCAAAGGAGCCACACAGACCTTCAGAGCATAGCAGGCAGAGTTGCAGGAGGGGAATGTCACTGGGCCTGTCTTAAAGACCTGCTAGCATAGGCAGCAAAAGGTAGAAGGAGTCAGGCTTGGTGTAGCATTGTGGTGCAGTGCAGTAGGGAGTAGTGTTATGTATTAAAAGTCCTCAAACCAGGGCATCTGCATTCACTTTGAGCTGCACACTTCCTCTGTAGCTAAAAGCAAGTGGCTCTATCTCTTGCTGTGCCCCAGATGCCACACAGTTAAAATGTACTAGGTTAGATTCTTCTTTGGTAAATATAATAGTCCTTCTCCATCCTTGACAGTACATTCCCAGGTGCCCAGTAGAGGCCTGAAGTTGCAGATTGTACTGAATCCTGTCTCAGCACCTTATGCAATCTGCACCTGTCAACCTGACCATCAAGGTAGCTACCACACAACTGATAGGGAGGTAGTGCTTATGTGCAGGTAGCATAGGAAGTAGGGATACACTCTGCACAAAGCCATGACTCTCACCTCAAGCTGGAAGGAATGGTGGGGGGAAGGGGTATTGTTCTGCTCAGAACAGTGTAAAATGTAAAATTGTTTACGTCTGGGAAGTTTTCTTTAATACACGATGTGATCCAAATATATTTTAAAATGCATTACAGTAAAAGACATTGCCATTAATCCACTATCAAAATCCTGCCCCTCACTTTGAACACACCTATCCTGTCATTCTTGTTACTTTCTGCAGCAGCTCTGGAAGTCCTCTTTCTTGAGTTTCTTTATGAGGTGTGATTAAAAAAAAAAAAATGCAGCGAACGCTGCTGCTGAGTGCCATCCCACTGCAAAACAAGTTTGTAAAAACATGATGCTGCATTCTGATCTGCCTTGTTCACCAGATCTGGCACCGCATGACACTGGCTCGACCCAAAGTGAAAATGATCTTAAAAAGCCAACATACTCAGAATATGGAGGCAGCAATAAGAACACAGCTGAAGACATTCATGAAGGAGAACTTCCAGAACTGTTCCAGAAAGTGGGAAGAATGATGGTGTAAGTGTGTTGGAAATGAGCAGGATTAACAGCAAGGTGTCTTTAACTATAACAAATTTTTTTTTTTCTGGTACCGGGAATCGAACTCACGACCTTGCACTGGTCACAGGTGCTGTACCATTGAGCTAAATCCCCAGCCCCTACAAATATTTTTTAAAGGTTTAAATGTTCACTATATTTTTAGTTCATACGTGGTATGTCCCCTTTGGTGTCATCAGTCAGGTACTCTGGCAGAACCAGCCACCATGTTGTAAGCATGCCCAAAAAGTTCTGTCTGATGTTGATTGAAACTTTGGAAAGCAAGAGAGAGAGGACTTTGATACTTATTTCCAACACTACTCCCCCAGCCTTCATGGGAGGCACACTTCCTCCCTGTTGGTGTTAGGCTTGAGGCAGCAATTTGCTCTGAATTCATGACAGGTAGATCGGACTTGGCCCTGTCTTGATTCCAGACTCACCCACGTGTCTCTCTCTGGCCAGTGTGAAAAGAGGTGATGCAAATAGAAGCTTGGAATGAGCTCGCACAGTTACATTTTCCCTCTTGCATGTCTTCAGTTGCAATGGGAAAAACACATGCCCAATAAGCCTGCTGGCACAAGGAGAAAAACAGATACCTGAAACAAAACTAAATGCAATGCACAGCTTAGAGCTAAGGACAGATGAGCCCAGACAAACCCAGGTAAGAAAGATGGCTCTCAGCTGAGCTGTGGGCACATCAGGAAATTCAATGGCAGGTGTGTTCAGCCAAAGAAATTGTGTAGGCGTGCTTATTATGTGGCACTGTTTAGGCTCTAGCTGACTGATACTGGTTGTGTGGGGGTACTGTTACACAGCATTCCTGAAGCCCTGGACAACTGATACACATGTCCATTATAAAAGCCATCTCATAGGTTGAGAGGATAGTGTGGGATCATAGATGTTAGTGTGTGTCTTTTCTCTTGTTGCTGGGACAAAATACCTGATGCCCAAATTAAAGAGAGAAGAGTTTATTTAGCTCATAGTTTGTGGAGGTTTCAGTCCATAATCAGCTGGCTCCAAGGTAGGGTGGCACACAGCACACAGCAGAGAGGCAATCATTCAAGGCAGCAGAAAACAGCAAAAGCAACAAGAGCAAAAAGGGAGAGAGGAGCAAGCCTCTTTCCCTCCCTTATATTATAAGCAGGCTACCTGCCCTGGGGCTGATGTAGCACTCACTCTATCTCCTTGCCCTCCTCTTGCACAGGCTCAGGATGTGTACAAAGTGAGGACCCTGGCCCCCTGTTGAGTCACTTAGTTAAACTTCTAAACTTCTCAAGTTGATACAATGAATCAATTGTTATAACATCTTAGAGTGTAAACAGCCTCCCCAGGACATATCCTCTATACACTAGGATATAGAACTGTTACTTAGTTAAGAACTGTTATAGAACTGAGTTATTTAGTTAAGCTTCTAGACTTCTCAAGTTGACACAATGTATCAACCATCACAGTGCATTTAAAGCACTGTCTATGCTGATGTTTGCTCAGGAGCCTTGGACCCACCTTGCACAATCCAGATCGCACCTCCAGTCTCCTCTGCAGGCCCACTTGTCCTGGAGCAACGCAGAATGCAAACCCTGCTTTGCTCCAGGCTGCCTTGCCTTTCACAGCCCTCAGCTTTATCCTCTCACACCTCTTCCCACCCTTCTAGGTGTTAAGCACTGTCCTGACTGCTCCAGTATTGGGGAGCTGTGACCTCAACCTTGACTCCACCCTCCTTCCTGGAAATGAGTGACTTCCTGCTTCTGTTTACTTCTTCCCTCCTTTATTGGCACCCAGGGCTCCTTTTGACTCTCCTTGAAGAATGAACCATGGTGGACCACAGAGGTGGAGGATGAGGGTCGGGCAGGCAGTTACAGGGTGCAGGGTGAAGCAGACTCCTGGAGAGGTGAGAGCAGCTCCTTTGAAAAGCTGGTAGGAACCTGCAGCTGCTCATGTCACCTCCCACCTCACTCTCTTCCCACCCAACCTCAGGGCCAAGTTATAACAACCTGTGCTTGCGGGTGGTGGCCACAGGGGCACCGATCAGTACCTCCAGCACCATCAAAGCAGGTCCCATTCCCAGCACTGCCTGTTCCTGAGCCTGCCCCTAGTTCCACCACCTTGGGTGCTTTGAAGCTGGACATCACACCTTTGTACACCTATGTGGTGCTGCTGTTACCCCTATGCATGCTGCCCGGATTCCACACCCCGGCAGTACCGTCCCCCACTCCTCCGCTGGTCTCATGCCTGGGTAGTGCCGACTCATCTCAGGCCAACCTGCCTCCGCCTTCATCTTCTCTTTTAGAGAGCACTTTCCAACCACCTAGA